GGAACAAGGCGAAGAATTGTACGGACCACACTGTTTATATAAATATCCAGAAGATATGAGCGTCCTGTATGATGTTAACGATTTGGTGATACATTATGTAAAGCGACAGGTGAATATCCAGAAAGAGGAGAAGCGTAATACGAAGCGTTATTTGAAACGTTTCATACCGGAAATGTTTAATGTGCCACAGCAAGAGCTGAGCGACGAAGAAGATGCCCCGGAGGATCAGCAAAATCCACCTGGTGCGTAATTTTTTTTTTTATTTTCTGAAAGCTTTTGAATATCCGGGTTGAGATATTTTGTAGGATTAGCAGCTGTATGGGTAAGGAGGCCAATAGTTCTGCCTTGTGGGTAAATGGCCCATCATCCAGAGAGATTTTTGTTTCATTTTTCCTTCAAAATTTGAGTTTTGCGATAAGCTGATTATAGCATGATTGTAGCATACAACTAATATAAAGAATTTAAATAGAGCAAGAATAGAACGAACTATGTAATGAAGGATTTAGAAATATAGCTGGTGTAGGAAAAATAAGTACGAAAGAGTTAAAACGTTTCGGTGCATGAAGTCATATACGTCTTAGTTCAACACCGCGACTGGACCTCGTCATTATGACGGTCACAGTGTTCAGAGATGAGAAGAAAAAGAAGGAATGGAAGACAGGAAGAAAGAAGAAGATGGGAAAGGGAGCCTGGGAATGCATGTTTGCATGTTTTTGTTACTGCATAAGAGTTTTTGTAAAAGTGTTATGGGTGGCTAGAACAACGATGATTTTGGCATGAAAACAGACGAGGAGCGGCGCTGGACGGCGCTGACGCTGACTGTTCTTGTCGGGGACACAAGATGAAGAAAACACAGCTTTATCGAACAAAACATGTTGATATTACAGTCAAAATTCTGGACAGCTGGGTGATGGACGAAACGCAGCATCACGACCGCATACGAAGAAACACATTCAATATTTCAGTTTACAACAAAATCACATGCTTTTATAATCATTAAAGGTTGAAGAGAAAATATCAAGAAAAAGGAAAACGAGGAGAAGGGTAGTAAGATGAGAAAGGGGCCTGAGGAAATATTTGTAATTGGTAAAGAAATGTTTCGGTCCATTAAGTTGTATACATTTCTTACCATTGCCGCAATTGGATCTCGTCGGTACGATGATTGTGGTAACAAAATAATTTATACTCGTCATATCTGGAGGGAAAGATTACTGCGGGGAGTAAGAGGGAGGGGAGGAGGGGAAGGAGGAGAAGGCGG